CGCCTGCTCCAGAGGGGGTGGGAAGAGGAAGGAGGGCGGTGGCGGAGGGGGTGGCGAGGGAGGAGGCGGTGGGGGGGGAGGCGCCTGTGGCGAGGGAGGAGGCGGTGGCGGAGGGGACGGCGGGGAAGGAGGCGGTGGCGAAGTGGGCGGCGGGGGAGTAGGCGGTGGCGTCGGGCCGCCAATTTCTTTTCCCTTTCAACAACTGGCGGCCCAAAAAAGCCCTCTACCTCTCCCACATATCCAATGTCCGCCGCCGAGTCGAAGACGCTGTCGCCCGCCGCCGCCGACGAGAAGATCGTTTCTCCGCCCACGAGCATCGAGAAAGCCGTGGCGCGCCCGACGCCCCCCTTCCCTGCGTGCGCGCGACCCCGATCGACGACGACGCACATGCAGTCCCACCCCCCTTCCCCGTTCGTCAGGTCGAGGCCGCAGAGCCGGCCGCGGCGGACGCAGCGCCCGCCGTCGCCGACCCCACCCCGTCCGCCGGCGAGCTCACGGAGCCCAAGCCAGAGGCACGCCCACTCTCCGCTTCCTCACGCCCGCCCGCCGAACCCACCTCCCCATAAATATTTCGACGCGTGTGCGCGCGCAGGCCGGGTCGGAGGGGAAGGCCGAGCAGAAGGAGGCCGCGCCGCCCACGACCGTCGACAAGCCCGCCGACGAGCCCGCCCCGACCGCGGGCGAGGAGAAGGCCGACGCGACGAAGGGCGCGTCGCCGGCTTCCGAGGCCGGCGACAAGCCCGCGGCGGAGCCTGACGCTGGCAAGCCGGCCGCCGAGGCGACCAAGGAGCCCGCGGAGGACAAGACCTCCCCCCCGAAGCGCCCCGCCGAGGGCGAGCCCAACGTCGACGATGGCTCGCCGCCCAAGGTCGCCAAGTCGGCCGCGGAAGCAGGGCCAACCAAGGCGCCCGCCAAGTCCCCGGCCAACAAGGCGCCCGCCGTGACCGAGAACGATGCCGCAAACGATGCGGTGGCCGCCTGAGGCAGTTGAGCGCGGGCCCCCGATGAGGCCCACCGCGAATCATGCCTCGAGGGACTGCAGCTTTTCACTCGGAGCACATTTCGGGTTGCGGACGCGGACAGCGCAACACGCTCATGGCATGCTCATGCCAAACACAAAATGGGCGTCGAAGGTGTTGTGCATTTTATCTTCTATATGCCGAGTCTTGAAACACAGCGCAGCCTGATTCGTACGAGTTGTAGTCGGGGCGGGGGGCGGGGCACACTCCCACGCACGCGTCCGACTGATATGGCTCGACGCTGCCTCTCGTGCGAAAAGGGGGGCAGGGTGGCTCATGATCAGGTGACGCTGCGAGAGACCTGAGGGGTTTCTGCGGTCCACCAGCTTGGCCTCCCTCAGCGTCAGTAGCGGTCGTGGCTCACGCCCGTTCCGAGCTCGCGTCGGAGCTGTCGGTGTCGCTCACACGCACCATGTCTCGCATCTCGTGTGGTCACCGTCTCGATCTGCTCCAAGCCTCCAAGACACGGACGCGGGGCGGGGCAAGCGGCGCAGGGAGAGGCGGCGGGATTCAAAGAACATCGGCGCATGCGGCGGCGGTCGCAGCGGAGGGGGGGAAGCGGACTGCTGGCCAGCATTGTGCAGCGGCGGGTCGGTTCGGTCACTTCGACGACGAGAGCGGGTCCCGGTTACCGTTGTCCTGTCCCGGGCAGCCCCTCGCAGCCCCTTTCCTTTCCCTGATATGTGACGCCCGGCCGCTCGCAGCACGATGAAGATGGATGCGGCGGTGACGTCCAGGTGACGTCGAGCTCAAGCAGAACCCCCCGCAGCACACCTTCCTGTAGAGCTCTACATCCGGCGCGGGAGCGACGGACTGCCTCCGATGTAGAGCGATGTAGAGCGATGTAGAGCGATGTAGAGCGATGTAGAGCACGATTTACTTGGTGATTTCACTGTGAATTTGCGCTCTACATCGCTTTACACATCGGAGCGAGGCAGTCCGCCTGCGCCGGATGTAGAGCTCTACAGCTCTACAGCGCTCCAGCGCGCTCTACAGCTCTACAGCTCTACAGCGCTCTACTCGTCGCCCTGAATGGTTGGGCAGGTTAGTCAGGGCACGATCCCGGCGTGAACACACCTGACAGTGGCATGCACCGCGCTGCGGCGCGTGCCACTGTCTTTGTTTGAAGTTAAAAGTCGAATCAGAGCGGCGTCGGCGTTGCCCTGAGTTTTCCTCCCACGGACCGCCCGTCCGGCACAGCTCCGGGACGCACGCCGGCGAAACACCATCAAGCTGCTGTACGGCCCCGGCATCGCCTCCCCTGGCTTAGCTAGACTGAGAGATATTGTGCACCTTGGTCTGTCTCTACAATGTATACACTGACACTTCACCTCCCAGAGCTCGTCCCGGTCCGCCACGGCCATCCTCGGCCTCCGGAGGGCCCCCGGCCGCGGCGCGGTGCGGCGGCGTCACAAATCCGACGGCAGAGCACCGGGACGCGGGCGAGTGATCTGAGGTCCAACTAGGCGTATGCATTGCTCATCCAGGGCTATCACCTGGACCTATCAACAGGCGCCTGCGGCGCCGTGGTCAGGAGTTGTCCAACCATTCATACAGCACAGTACACTCTACATCCTCTACACCCTTCCTCAGGACAGGTGACCGGCCGAGGGAGGGACCCTCCCTCTGTCTGAGGTCAAAATCAGCCAAGCGAGCAAGACTGTAAGAGGCGAGGCACCGAGTCAGAGCAAACCCTCTCGCCCAGCCAGGGATCCGGCCTTCTGTTCCGGTTTTCTTTTCCTGTGTCGAGCCTGTCTGCTGGAGAGAGAGTGCGTTGTGTAAATTCTTTTCCTTTGGCCCGCCACCCACACCCCAGCCAGCGTCGGCGCGCCGTCTAGCAGCGCTAAAGCGAACGAACACAATGGTCTGGCGCTTGCTCCTGCTGCTGCCGCTCTCCGCCACCGCGTACGGTGGCAAGCAGCCTGGTGAGCGGCAGCGCGAAGCGCTTCGCAAAACCACGGTCGCCGTCGACTCTTCCGGCCGGTCATCTGAGGTGGCCTCGCTGGTGGTCGCGGCCGGCTGTTTTTGGGGAGTGGAGCTCGCCTTTGCGCGACTGCCAGGCGTGATCAGCACCGAGGTAGGTTACATCGGTGGATCAACTCCCCGGCCAACGTACAGCGCGGTTTCGAAGGGCAAGAGCGGCCACGCAGAGGCTGTTCGCATAATCTTTGACGCGAGCACCATCGGCCTCACGACACTGTTTGGTGTCTTCTTCGACGTCCATGACCCGACGACGCTCAATCGACAGGGCAACGACGTCGGGACTCAGTATCGCTCTGCGATCTTTTACTCTGACGAACGGCAGCGCCTCGCCGCGCAGACCGCCATCGAGCGCGAGGCTGAGCGGCTCGGCACGCCGCTGGCGACGACTCTCGAACGCGCCGACACCTTTTGGCCGGCGGAGGACTATCACCAGGCGTATCTTGAGAAGGGAGGCCAGTCGGCCGCGAAGGGCGAGCAGACGCCGATTCGCTGTTACGGATGAGCGTCAGAAAACACCTTGTCAGTGATTTGTGGACACTGTGCCGTGATGGTGATAAAAATAAATAAAAATGATATACTAAAAGATGGGTAAAAAGAGTCCCCGCCCATGCGGTCTTGATACATATGTAAATGTGTAACCGGTTTCTCGCTGAGCCCTGGCTGTCAGGCTGTCAGGTGCTGTCAGGTGATCTGTCGGGCTGTCGGGCACTGTCAGGCACTGTCAGGTGCCTCTGTCAGACCAGCTGTCAGGTGCTGTCAGTGCTGTCAGGTGCTGTCGGGTGCGTGTCTGACAGGCGAGGTGATCTGTAGCTGTCGGGTGCTGTCGGAGCTGTCGGGTGTTGCTGTCAGACGCTGTCGGAGCTGTCAGAGAGCTGTCAGGCTGCTGCTGCTGTTAGACGTTGGGCTGTTGCTGTCAGGTGCTGTCAGGTGGTGCTGTCGGGGTGCTGTCAGGCTCTGACACACATCAGCCACACTTATGACACTATCAAGAGGGCGCTGACTATCAAGGGGGTGCTGACGCCGATGACGCCGGCGGCTACGCAGCTACCCCCCTCCTACACGGCGTGATCACGCCGGCGGCGGCGGCCGCCTGGGGAGCGCAGATGGCGGCGCAGAGGCACAGGCGGCGGCGGCGGCACAGACGGCGGCGGCCACCCCCACCCAGACGCCGTAGGCATATGACTGTAGGGCCCCAGAAGGCTAGCTGGTAGCTTCATTTGTAGTAGCACAGCCGCCGGTGCTGGAGAGGGGTCCGCAGAGGTGGGGCGGGAGGGTTGAAAGAGAGACCCATGACCATCCCATGACTACATGGACCACACTCACATGTCTTTGCATGTAATTTTGTTATACCCTCATGGGGCACAAGAAAGAGGCTCTACGGGGTCTGTGTACGGTCTGTGCCGCTGTCAGGCTGTCAGCGCTGCTGTCAGGCCACTGTGTGCTGTCGGGCTGTCAGGCAGCTGTCAGGCTGTCACGTTAGGGCCTGACAGCGACGGGTCGCCTCGCCTGTCAGGCTCTGCTGTCAGGCTGTCAGATACGTGCTGTCAGACTGTCAGAGAAAGTGCTGTCAGCGCTGTCAGGCTGTCGGGCACTGTCAGGCGCTGTCCGGGGTTTGCTGTCAGTCTGTCAGACCAGGGCTCAGGTTTCTCGTGAGAGCGCTTCTGAGTAGTGAGTTCTGTGCATCGACCACCATATAAGTAATAAGAATTAAGATATATCGTCACGTGTGCTTCGTGGCGGCTTCGCCCCTCTTAAGCTCTATACAGTACTTTATGTGCAGCTGCGGTGTGCGCTAGGGTGTGCGAAAAGTGGTTCTGGTTGTGGAGAGGGAGCGTGGGAGCTGGGAGACCAAAAAAGATTTTATCCGCGTTCACCGTGTGCGCCCGTAACAAAACACAGCATGCCTACACACGCAGCTCCTCACGCAGCTATACAACGTCGTGTCTTCCCTCATCTCTGTGGCTCCTCTGCCAGCCGAGGTGCGAGGAGAGGAACCAGAGAGACCCACACGCAGCACACACACAGTGGGGAGCGAGCGACACGAAAGAGGCGGCGCCCGCGAGAAGCGCGGGCCCCGCGCCGCGCAGGACAGACAAACGTACTGGACATGGGCGGCACTGTACCGGATCCCTCCTTCCCCTCCCCCCCCCCTCGAGTCACTGATTGCTGCTCGCAATGAGCTGCGCCTGCTCGCGCGACACGTACCCGCTCGCGGCGTCGCCCCGCTGGACGACGGGCCCGGCGGCGGCGGCCACGTCGCTCGCCTCGAAGGCGCCTGCAGAGCAAGCGGGCCGGTGAGACGGACCCACGCACTGCCTCCCCTCCGCTGCTGGCCCCTAGCGCGCCCGTGATGACCATCTCTGCAGGGAGGCGGAAGCGCAGGTAGACGCGCCTAAGGAGACGGGGGCGGCGAGGTTGACGCTCCCCTCCCCTGGGCTCGAAGAGAAGTGCGGGCGGGCGCGCTTCGCGTAGCGCGTCAGCAGCAAGAGCGAGCCGCATATGCAGAGCGTGACCTGGCCGGCGCGGGGCGGCGGTCGGAAGGAGGCGCGGGGCGGGGCGGGAGAGGGGCGGGAGGGCAGGCGCAGCAGGCGGGGGGCCGGGGAGCAGGTGGCCGCCGCGCGCCATCGTCGAGACCGACCAGTGCACGTAGATGAGCCACGAGAAGAGGGCGGCCGAAAAGTGGAAAAAGACGAGGCCGAGCACAAAGCAGTAGTAGGCGGTGCGGTACTCGGTCATCATCCCGTCGACGGCGGGGTGCATCGAGCCGTCCGGACCGCGCAGCGCCAGCCCCGGCCCCATCATCGAGAGCAGCGTCGTGTTCAGCACCGCGATCAGCTCAAAGCACATCGCCGTCGTCGTCACGAGGAGGTACGCGATTCGCAGCGCGTACGCGCGGTCGTGCGGGATGGCCACCTGGGTGAGGCCCGAGTACGCGAACCCCGCGAGCAGCGCCGCCTGCGTCCCCACGGCCTGGCAGTTCTGCGTGTAGTAGTTGAGCTCCTTTTCACGAATCGCGAGCAGGTTGACCTGCGGCGCGGCGGAGGCGGGGTCGCGGCGGGGTGGCGCGGGCACCGGCGCGCGTGGCGCTTCGGCGCGCGCCTTCAGGTTGGTCTCGAGCGCTCTCTTGTCGGCATAGAGCATCGGGCTGCTGGCGCTGGCGCGCGCCGCGAGAGACACAGCGCCGGGCGGAAGAGTGAACAAGAATTCGGATCACTCCCGGAGCAAAAGCTAAACATAATACTTTCAAGCGGCGTGTGGGGGTATATTGCATATTTGTCAATGGTACCGCGTCTGCGACGCGGGCGCCTTGCGAGCAGAGCCCTTAGCCACCCTTCATATCTTGCGCGGTCAAAATTTCAAGCGGCGGGCTTCGGCACAAGTAGACCTCCGGTCTAAACCACATAAAAAAAAACCCCCGGCGGCCGTCGCGTCGTTTGCCCCTCGCAGCACCCGGCGCGCAGCCCGTGCGCTACAACGACCCCATGCGCTACAGCGACCCCAACCGGTGGGTCTTCTTCGGCCGCGCGTGGGCGGCAACGATCGCCACGGCGTGCCTCAGCTTCGGCGCCTTCTCCTTCCTGGTTCCTCCGCCAGACCCGCCAGTCCTGGAAGCGAGCCGCTTGAGAGCCACGTCCAAGCGCAGCGGCGGCAGCGCACCCTGACGCCGCCATGGCCGGCTGGACGTGGCCACCCCGTCCTCACCACGTGTTGGCGGGCGACAGCCAGGCGAAGAAGCTCCGCCGTCATAGCTGCGTGCGCGCCTTCGCCATCAGCTCTTGTACCACCTGAACCCGCGGGGCGCGTGCGGATGCAGCCGTGGCCTCCGATGACCGCCCCGCCGCCGCTTCTGGCACTGCCGCAGCTTTGCGTGTTGCCGGTGGCAAGGGCAGCGGCGCGGCGGGTAAACGGTGCCAGTACCACCTGCCGCGCGCGCCAAAACACACCGCCGAGCCGCCAATAGCTAGAGAGCACGCTGGAGGTAATCGAAGCCGCGCGCGGTGGTCACGACCGTGCCGCAAGCGGTCAATATCTCTCCGACACCGACCCACATCGCGGGCTTTTGGGTGGCAGGCGGCAGAACCCCATCTGCCGTCCTGCCAATCGCCACGCAGACATCCTCCCCCGCCCCTGCCCGGCGCCCCGTCGCAACAGCCCTGCCCGCATTCGCCCTCTCCGTGCGTTCATGCCATCCCCTCCCTCCACAACCCACAGGCGGGGACGCGAGGAGGCGGCTGACGAGACTATGGGAGGTGGTGTTTGGGGGAGAGGAGCCCCGTCGTTTGAGTGTGCGAGGATATTCCGGTGATCTCCACTCGAGGTTGACGTAAGGCCGTATGACGGCCGCACGCAGCTCGTCCGTGCGTGAGACACTGTGTATGTGCGCAGAATATTGACTGCCGGAGCGGCGTGTCGTGTGTGGGGACGTACCGTTCCAGAAGTCGAGACGAGGCTCTGCCCGCGCTGTGCCTCTGCCCTCTCGGCATCTGCCGCGGTCTCTGGGGGGGCCCAGGCCTGCCCCGGTGCCCCGCGCCGCGCGGGCCCGCACCGCCCGGGCGCGCGGCCCCCCGCGCCCCGGGGCCCGGAGTCGGGAGAGTTATTTGCGCATTGCGCGGTGTGTGGCGTCGTTTTTTCGAGTGTGTTAAACCGTAAACGCCGTGACTGACATATGTTTCGCACAAATGTGCACATCCGCCGAATGGCTGATTGACCCCCTACCCCTACCAACCCCGGCCCAGCCCCAAGCTCGAGAGGCCAGAGGCGCGAGAGTGCGAGCTGAGACGTGCACACATACACACCCCAGCGCCCAGGCGAGACGCCAGAGAGCGATGTGCGCATGCGCGTTGCCCAGCGCGGCCAACTGACTAGAGCCGACTCCTCTCCCAATCTCCCAGCGGCCCTACTCGTACAAGCCGTGCTCCTTTGCGTACGCGCGTATGCAATCGGGGAGCACCTCTGCAGCGGCGGCCGGGTCGTCGCCGGCGAGGGCTCCGCGCGCGGCGCTCGACGAGACGGCGGCGAGGGCCTCGTCGTTTGGCATGAAGTGGAGCCGCCCGTGCGTCACCTCGGCGGGCAGCCCGCTCCTCACCGCAGCCGCCTGCGAGCGGGCGCCGCGCGGCTCTCGAGGAGGAGAGGCACCTCTCTGCTGTGCCTCTCTCCGATGTGAGCTCTCCCCCTGCTGTGCGCCCCTTCCCCACACGCCCGCGCCGCTCCCTCGCGACTCCCTCACGGCTCTCTCACGGGGCCAGCCTCCCTCGCGGCTCGCCTGCCCTTCGGCACTGAGGCCGGGGGCCATCGTCGACGCGCTCGCCGAGTCGCGCGAGGTGACAACCACCTGCCACGGTCCGAGGACGTGTCACGGACACGTCCAGGCGAGGCGAGGCGCGAGAGAGGGAGACCGCCTCGACCGTGCCGAAGAGGGAGCGCAGCGCGTCGTCCCTCCGCCCCTCCGGGTAGTACTTAGGGTCGACCACACGCTCCCACGTGTCGTACCCGACCAGCAGAAAGATGGTGGCGCCCGGTCCGCACAGCGCGCGGAGGGCGCGCGCCTTGTCGACAAAGAGCGGGTGCGCCGTCACGCCGCAGACCGTGCTGCCCTCCACCTCCTCGCGCGCGAGCAGCTCCATCATCTGCAGCCGGTGAGGCAGGCTCGCGCCAACAACCGGCTTGTCCGCATTCTGCTTTGCGAGGAGCAGCATCCGCCGGCGGACGCCGAAGCGAGCGGCGGCGGAGCGGAGCAGGTGGACGTGCGCGCACGTCGGCGGGTTGAAGGACGAGTCGAGCACGGCGACCGACTCGTCCAGCGGCAAGGGCCACTCACCGCCACCGACAGCCGGCGGCACGAGCTGCACCCTCGGCTCGACGGCGATGTCGACCGACGAGAGCGCCCTCTCGAAGCGCTCCAGCTGCGGCAGCGCGCTGGCGGAAGAACCGGTGCCGGCCATGGCTAAGACGGAGAGCCTGCGAGCGAGCAGCCTTTGCATGTGCGGGTCTGGCTCTGCAGGCACCGTCGTCACCGTGCCGCCACTGCGCCACCGTGTAGGCTGAAAAAAGAATTTATACCCTGCCATCCCTCCCTTGGGTTGTCTCTTTTCTTTCTTTTTCTTAAAGGCAAAGGGGGCTAGATTTGGAGCGCTCGCCGAAGAGGAGTACGACAAAATAGCGCCCGTGATTGCCTGCACGCTGCCCGCACTCACGGACTCCATACCCGAAAGAAAGAGAAGGGAGCTCGCAGGAGAGGTGACGAGTGAACTACAGGTAGTGGGGAAGGCAGCCTCGATCGCCATACAGACATGGGTGCGAAACAACGACAAGACCAAGGCACGGGCAGAGCCAGAGGAGAGAGAGAAGAATATAAGGATGGATAAAGCGCCTGTTCACGGCATGGAGGGTGAGCCACGCTGAACGTAGAGCCGAACGGGAGGAAGCCGGGGAAGAAGACTCCGAGGAGGACGAAACACCTGTGGTAATCCCGTCGTCAGCTGTCACGATGCACCCGAAGGGGACCCCACAGCGCCAGCATCATCCGTGGAGGTACAAGTGTTCGAAGAGAGAGTGGACCTGAGCAACGATATGACTTGGCGGCAGATGATCGCAGTGGGCGTCAGAAGAGTCGTCCTTGCGCGAGAAGAGCTCGATAAACTCGAGGGGCCAAAATATGCCGCCAGCAGGGCAGAGTTGCGCCGAAAGGCGGGAGAAGCCGCGAGAGCAAGGGATCGGCAGGCGGCGGCGGCGTCGCTGGATGAGGCAGACGAGAGCGACGCGACAGAGGAAGAAGCGACAAGAGAGAGAACGAAGAGAGTGGGACGACCGCGAGGTGGCATGAAGGTTGCAGCGAGAATCGGCGAGGGACTGCGAAGGGAGATAGAAAGAGGCAGACGACCAAGGGTTAGGGTGGGCGACGGCTAGGCGCTAGCACCACACTCCTCTCCTTAAAATCCCTGTGTGGTGGCGGCGTGCCGTCCACCCGTCCAGCGTCCTCCCATCCCTCCCTTGCGTTGTCTGTTTTCTTTCTTTCTTTCTTTCGCAGCTAGGGGAAACCCAAAGCGCAGAGCCAACCCTCGGAGACCGTGTTTACGTTACGGCCCTTTCCCTGCGAACGCGCACCCCCCCAGGGCTAGGGCTCTCTAGCCCGTAACCCGATGCCAATCATCCGGCCCGCTGGGTGTGCTTCTTAGCCCCCCGGCCCTGGATGTGCGGTTAATGACTGCACTCCAAGTGCTCCAAGTTTTCTTTCTTTCTGCTATCGTTGAAATCTTTGTGTGGTGGCGGCGTGCCGTCCTCCCATCCCTCCCTTGGGTTGTATGTTCTCTTTCTTTCTTTCTTTGCTATCGGTCTCCCCCCATAATTTGTCCGCCAAGCTGCAGAAACAAGCTTTCAGTGGCTACAAGTGTAGGCACTGGATTATCGTGCGCGCGGAGCGCGCTGGTGCTACCCGGACACATGCGCGGAGCGCGCTAGCTGGACACACGCGCGGAGCGCGCTGGCGCTAGACACACGCGCGGAGCGCGCTGGCTAGATACCGCGCGGAGCGCGCTGGCACTTATGTGCGCGGAGCGCACCGCGGTACCGGTAGAGTCTAGACACATGAAGACAGTCTGTTGCAGTCAGTTGTGGCCACGCTGCTTCGAAGCTGGCCTGACGTCGTAGCACGCGTCTGGCAGACGCTGTGTCTCTGCCTTCTTCCGCGTCATGACCACACCCCGCTGCAGCGAAGCTCCAATGCCGCCCCTCTGTGCATGTGACCTGTCGTTGTGGTGAAAGCGGTCTTCCCAGTTGAGCCCGCCCCAGTTCTCGAGCGCACGGTTGATGAAGGGCACGGCGACGGCCGCATGTAGCGCCCAGAGACACGCGCGGAGCGCGCCGCTGCAGAACACGCGCGGAGCGCGCCGCTGCACAGGCGCGGAGCGCCGCCACTTGAGATTGGGCCTGTGGGTGGGCCGAGTGGTTCCTAGCGTGTGAGTCAACTCTTAAGGTTGCTCCCGGCCCAGTGGGGATTTCGGCCTACTCAGTGATCGTCTAAGGGGCCCTAAATGGCCTGCAATGCCATATCTTTTGTGCCTAGGTTGTAGAGCACCTTAAAAAAGTACTATGTCTTGGAGTGAAAAGTTTTTCGAGGAGGTGGGGGTCCGTGGTGAGCCGATTCCCAGATTCTCCAGATTCCCCCTCGAAAACCGCCCCTTTTAATTCACTGCGGCCGCGTGCTTGCTCGGATTACTTTTCACTCGAAGACATAGTAGTTTTTTGGTGTTACGGTGCCTACAAAAAATATCCGAGATCATATGGAGCTGACCACAGGGTTTGCGGCGATCACTGTCCTACCAGCGGGCACAGTGGGCCGCGGACACCCGTGAATGACCTTAACAGAAATCGCACCTAGCCCTCCTCAACCCTCAACATTTTCTTCGGGGCGCGCTCCGCCGCGCGCGGCGCTCCGCGCCTGACTCCTTGAGCGATGAGCGGCGTGTGTTAGAGGCGCTGGCTCGCACATGTTCTGCAGCTTGGTTTGTCCGTGCCGACCTGCATTATTTTACCCGTCTCGCAGCCGAGGCTAGGAGCTAGCGCTGGCAGCCTCGTATACCTCTAGAGCACACGCAGCCCCACGCACGTCGACGTACAAACAGACATACCTCTCGAGGGACCCGTACTCTCTCGTTTTTCAGCGTGTGGTGTGAGGCGGGCGGGCCGCGCTCTCACCATGGCGCTCACGTGTCCTGCTGAGCAGCGCATGCGCTCGCCCTCTTCGTGTCGACGATGCTCGTGGTGGCGGCCAAGCGGCCCTTGAAAAAGTCCGGCTGGCCGCCGCCGACAAAGATCTCGAGCCGCCCCTTCTCCAGCGTCACGCCAGCCGAGGCGGCGAAGACGGCCTCGCCCGTGGCCTCGCCGCCGTGCACCACGGCGCGCGCCTCGGGCGGCACGCTCAGCTTCACCGCGATCGAGGCGCCTGGCGCCAGGCGCTTGATCCGCTCAAACGCGCCCAGCCGCACGCGCGGCGCCGGGACGGTGGCGTCGGGCTGCTTGAGGTACACCTGCACGACCTGCTCACGGGCCGACGCGTGAAGCGCGTGTCGTTGACGGCCTGCGGGACGCACACCAGCACGCACCTCGTCCGAGGCCACGGAGCCCGTGTTGGTCACCGTCACCGTCACGCCCACCGCATCGCAAGCGGAATGCGAGGCGGCGTCGAGCGACAGGCTGGAGTATGCAAAGGTGGTGTAGCTGAGCCCGTGCCCAAACGGGTAGAGCGGCGCGCCCTCGAAGAAGCGGTACGTGGCGCCGCGCGAGCCGCTGCTGGCGTTGGGGTACATGCCCGTGTCGGCGAGCGGCGGCAAATCAGCTGTCGCCCGGTAGAAGGTGACGGGCGTGCGGCCCGCCTACGGAAGGTGACGAGGCTCGGGGAAGTGCCTCCCGGTGGAAGGTGACGAGGCGTGCGGGGCCGCCGGCGAGACGTCGCCGAATAGAGTTGCAGCCACGGCCGCGCCACCCTCAATCCCCGGATACCACGCGTCCAGCACCTACGGTCAGGTTCCGAGAAGCTTCAGGGCAGCTTCCAAAATGATCTCTGCGCGCCGCGCGTCGAGCACAGCGTCGCAAGCGGCGCGGGTGGCGTTGTCAATCGCGATGGCGCCGCCGTGCACGAGCAGGCAGACGAGCGGACCAGCCTACTCCTCGGGATTCCGGGTGAGCTCGGGCGATCTCGGTGCACGAGCAAGCAGGCCAGTGGCGCTCGCACCGTTGCGGCACGCAAAGCGGCGACCATCCTCTGCTGGCCGAGAGGCAGCTCGATGATGCGCCGGTCGTTGCCTGCGGGGAACTAGCGAGGACACGTCGTGGACGTGGGCTGGAGGGCGTGCCCCAGCGGTCCGCCAGTGCACGCCCTCGCGCTCGCAGTGGTCCCCGAGCCCGTCGTCGTCGCCGTGGCAGTACTGGTCGAAGGCGAGCCCGAGCACGACCACCGTGGCGTCCGCGGAAGCGGCGGCGGCGGCAGCGGCCCTGAAGCCGTCCCTCGACTCTGGCGCGCCGATGGCGTCGAGACCGCGCGCTGCGGTGACTGTGCCGCCGCCGAGCCGCTCTCGCAGCGCCGCCTCGAGGGAGAGGCCCCAGTTGCCTGCGGGGAGGGCACGCGGAGCGGTCGTCGCGGCCGAGTCTCCTTCCCGCAACGGGAGACTCGGCGCAGCTGCCCTTGTTTGCGGACCCGGCGTAGTTGCCGAACAGCACGCCGGAGACGTTTGCCTGCGGACCGACCACGGCGAGCCGGCCAACTTTGGCGTCGAGCGGAAGGGCGCCGCCTACCGAAACGCGCGGAGAGGGCGGTCAGCGAGAAGGCGCCGCCCTGGGCGGTCGAGCGCGGGAGGGCGCGGCCCTTGTTCTCCAGCAGGGTCATGAGCTCGAGGGCCGCCTCGCGCGCCACGGCGAGGTGGCGCCTGAACACACACGAGCGCGCGTGAAGAGACGTCGGTCACGCCTCGCGCCCCCACGAGGCGGCGCCTGTTGGAGGCGAGCTCGGTCGCGTTGTAGCGCAGAGCGTTGTAGCTCACGTGGGTGGGCGGGTCGAGCATGCCCAGCCTAGACCTCGGGCCAACCTCGGGTGCGCTCGGGTGCGCTCGCGGCGGGCGGGAAGGTCGGGCTGCGCCCCGCCGTATGCGCAGCCGGAAGAGGTTGCGGAACGCGCGCGCCACGGCGGCGGGTGTGGTCAGGCCGTCCCGAATGGCGGCGGGCAGCGTCGAAATGGCCAGCGCGGAGCCGCCCTCCTGGTCGATGCCGGCGTTGAGGCCCTGCGCGGCGCCCGCCCGCAGCGTGGCGTTGTAGTGGTGCGCCAACGCGATGTTGGCCCAGGCATCGTAGTCGCTGACGACGAAGCCGTCCCACCTCCACGTCTCTCGCAGCACCGCCGTCAGCAAGCCGCGGCTGCCGCAGGTGGGCACGCCTAGCACGCACGGCTCCGAGGCGGGTCGGAAGAGGTTCCGCCCGCGCGAGGCCAGCTGCCGCGCGGTCGCCGTTGAGCGAGTTGTAGGAGCACATCGCGTGCGACGAGCGGGCCCGCACGACGCAGGCCTGCGGGGCGGGGCCGGCGTCTCGCACAGGTCACACGGCTATAGCTTGGCCATCTCCGCATCTCGTCTGCATCTCGTCTGCATCTCGTCTGCATCTCGTCTGCATCTCGTCCGCATCTCGTCTGCATCTCCTCCGCATCTCGGCCAGAGGTCGGCGGTGCCACACCTGGAGGCGGGCAGTACGTCTCCCACAAGTCGCGCGCGTTCACGTCGACGTTGAGGCTCATGCGGCTCGGCCCCCCGGCGTGACCCTCGGTGTTGTACACCGCGACGTGCTTGCAGCAGGTGCCGGCCTGCAGGTAGCCGTCCGCGTCCGTGCGTCCAGCGGTGTTGTTCTGCGCGCCCCGCACAAACTCGACGACGAGCTCGCCCATGTGGGTCGGGTCCTCGCCGTACACCTGGCGGAGGGATGCGGCAGGTCGTGGCTGTCACACGTCGTGGACGTGTCACGGGAATGCCGCGGGCCGTGCGCTACTCCTCTCCGGCTGCTCCTCTCCGGCTCACCTCCTGCGCACGGCCCCAGCGCGGGTCGCGCACCAGGTTCAGGTTGGGCGCGTACAGGGTCAGGCCGCAGCCGTTGCACGTCATCTGGCGCCTGCGCGGGTCTGACGCGAGGAAGCCGTTGTGCAGCCCGCGCGCCTCGCGACCCACGACGGCGCCGACGGCCCGCAGAGTGGCGTGCGAGAAAGTCGCGCCGAGGCCGACGCCATTCGGGAAGACGGTCGCGCGCGCAGGTGTGCGAGCGACGCCGTGCTGGTCGTCGTTCAGCCACTGGTACTCGGGGACGCCGAGCTCGAGCAGCTCCGGCGCCGTGTTATGCAGCTGGCCGATTTGCGCGCTGAGGCTGGTGTGCGCCACGAGGAAGTCGAGCCGCGCCTCCGTGCCGAGCGTCCAGTCGAGGTGAGTGCCCTTGATGCCCGGGCACTTTGCGTAGTCCGCCGCCGAGTCGACGCATGTCCGCGAGTCGCTGGGGCAGAGATACTGCCCGCGCTTGCAGCCGCTCTTGGCGCCACACCAGTGCGAGCTCATCGTGCACACGCCGCTGTCCGGGCACCGCGTGAACTCGCCGAGACACGGATCGAGGCGCGAGTGCAGAGCCGCCGCGCTGGTGAGAATGAGGAAGATCAGGGTGGCGCTCGGCGCTCGCGGCATGAGTGGAGACGGCCGCGGCTCCAACACGTTTGCGGCGTGTGTCGCCAATAGACGTGGCAATCGAGGCGGGTGTAGATGGGAGAGGTGGACGGCCGACAGCAAGATTTTTAATCTGTCTCTCAGTGTATCCTACCTACCTACCTACCTACCTAGTGTATGTAGCTCTTACGTACACTCCCTTTGCTGCCACTCATAAAATCGTTGGGTCGCTAGGTAGGTAGGTAGGTAGGTAGGAGGGCCCCCGCACACACGAACCCACACATACAGAGAGGGAGGGACGAGTGCACGCATTGGGCATCAGAGAGCCATAAGTGTCTGTTGTTGTTTGGCTTGAGCCAAGCAGGCACACCCGCGCGCGAGCGATTAGGCCAGGCCCGAAGCCTGACTCAAGCCAAGGTGGAGCACAGGGACAGGGACACCGTACTCACGTACTGACATCCCGCCCCGCGCCAGGGGCGGTGGCGCGCGCCGCGCCGGGACACTTTGGACCCGCAGCCTGGCATACGCCAGGCCACAGATCCGCCGGCAGAGCCTTAAAGCTGCATCCGCGATCCGCGCCGGCTCTCAGGAGAGATCCGGTGCGGTGCTGACCGCGTCCTCGCAGGCCACCGAGTTCACGATGGTGTCCGGAGGGAAACGGTGCAGCTGCGGCATGTCGCAGTGCGGCATGCCGCAGTGCGTCACGCGGCGCTCCTGCAGCAGCGCGCGCGCGGTGGTGAGGAGGTGGTGAGGAGGGAGCAAGCCCTTGAGCTGCTGGCGAACCTGGCGTAGTCCATCGCCCGCGCACGCGCGCCGGCCTTGAGGTGGTTCCACCAACAACTGGCCCAGGGGTTGAGACCCTGCGGCGTTCACGTACGGACCCGCCTCGGTATGGCTAACCTGTTGGCGAGCGGTGCCTATTGGCGCTGCGACGGCGACTGCCAGGAACGTGCAGAACCACGCTCGCAAGCAGACCGTATGGCAAGGCCGGCACCGTGTTGGGTCGCTTCAGTTCTCACGAAGTCCCCCCGTGGGCCGACCCTCCGATTTTTGAGAAGAGAACAAAGGGAGTCGAAACAGCCCGAAGCACATTCCATATGTGAAGCCCGAGGAGGCGCTCAATTGCTGGGAGGAGGATGCGTACGAAGCGGAGACGCTGGAGGCGCTCGCCGAGTTCGGCGATTGAGCGCCTCCCTCTCTCTCCGGCTGCGCGCATGACCGGTGCGGCCTCCGAGTCGGCGTCTAGCGCGCACGATAAGGTTTTTGCTCGCCTTCCCTAACCCCCTACATGCAAACAAGACAAGGTACCGCTCGCCGGTACCGCACGAAGTACCGCCCAAAACAGTGCTGCTTTTCGGCCGAAATGGCCTCTTGACGTCCCGCTCTGGGCTTTCCAGGATGACAGAATTGGCCTTCGCCAGACTGAGGACTATTGTGCGCCTCGGCG